GGCCACGAAGTAGTATTTCGTGCGCACGTTATACTTATTGCGTGGCCGCGAAGATCAGAGATCCAAAAAGATACCAAAGGAAAATCCAGGGCAAAATCAGGTTCAGTCCACAGACAGAATCCAACAGGAATCCAAAGACAGGTCAGGTAAATAGATCAGAAAAGGAACACCCAGGCTCAGAGGTCCAACGGCAGAACGGGTCAGGATCAGGCAATCAGAACACAAAAAGGTACGCCAAAGGCTTGAATGATCTGGCACTAATGACTGGGAGCAAGCAGGTTAAATAGAGTATGGAGCATGTGACACAGATGAACAGTGATGAGAAACTGGGCGCCAAGATTATGACAAAGGGAGGGCTCGCCTTTCTAGTTTTCAATGCCGCACAATGGGAACCCAGTGCTCCCCAAGGGGAAGGGTTAAATGCAGAGAGTTGATTTCACCATATCCGTCAGGACGTTATTAACCAGGACTGGAAATACTGCTGGAGCACTGATCAGCCCAAAAGGCATGACCAAGCACTCATAATGACCGGTGGGAGTATTGAAATCCGTCTTCTACTCATCTCCAAAATGGTAAACATTGCGTAGGTCCAACTTGGTAAAAATCTTGGATCCTTGCATCTGGTCAGATGCCGAATTCATGAGTGGGAGGGGGTGTCATTTCTTAACAGTGAAGTAATTCAGCCCCCTGTAATCGATACATGGTCTAAGGGACCTGTCCTTCTTACCAACAAAGAAGAATCCCGCCCCAGCAAGAGAGGTTGAAGATCAGATTATGCCAGCTTTTAAGGAGTCCTCCTCATACTTCTACATAGCTTGGTTTTCTGGAACTGATAGAGAATAAAGATGTCCTTTAGGGGGTGAGGTACCTGGAAGATGCTCGATTGCAGTGTCATTAGGTCTATAAGGTGAGAGTGCTGTGTCCCTAGATTTGTTAAAAACCTCCTTCAGGTCATGGTACTTTGACAGAACCTTGGACAAATGAGGGTAACTCTCCTCCATGGTGTAGTCAGCGACTGGAGAGGAATAAGCAGAAGACAAACAGGCAGCCAAATAGGACCTGGACCAGCCGAGGATCTCCTTAGCCTACCTGTCGATGTGGGGATTGTGCTTCTTTAGTCATGAAGCTCCCAGAATAATGGGTAACTAGGTGAAGTGGGTAACAACAAAAGTGATCTTCTCCAAATGATTTTACCCCAGGGTTTGACTAATCTTCTGAGTGACCTGATTAGAGCTGTTAATTTGGTTTCCATCCACTAGGAAATTATGGGTAGGAGGGCCCGGGAGAGATTTGATGCCATTACTCTTGGCAAAGGACACATCCAAAAACTCAGTGTCCTCCTCTTGAGTCAATAAATACTGAGACCTGGTGGGAAACAGAAGAGAGTGAAATGTTAGCAGGGTAGGAGAGTGAGGAGACAGACATAGACCTACACATATGGCTCAGTAGAGATCTCCTCATCCCTACTGAGCCTGGAATTTTGGAGGGCATTTGGCAGCAAACTGACCATGTCCCCCACAGTAGAAGCACAAGTTCAGTTGCTTATGGCAAGAACACTCCTCCAGAGAAACCTTAGTTCTCCCTAATTGCATGGGTTCTGGATCGGGTATTTGGGAGGTAGGAGGAGGGAAACTCCTTAGCTCAGGGCAAGATCCTAAATGGTAGACTGGGGAAGACAAAACTTGTCTCTCTCTTCCCCATTCAGAAAACCGGAGGTCAATTTGAGTTGCCAAAACGTTGAATTCCTTGAGTTAGGTGGCATACTCTCAGGTAGCAAGTTGATCCTTGATGTTATCATTTAGTCCAGCGTCCCCAACCTTTTTTGGACCACGGACCGCTATATGTCAGACAATATTGTCACAGACCGGCCGGGGGGCTATACGACCAAGTAAAATGATACGACTTGCATAAAATCAAATACAAACAGCATAACAATAAAACAACAAGCCGGTCCCATCTAGGCGTATTCGGAGAAAATGAAAGACGAAGTGTGCTCCTGATGTCCAGTCTGCTCCGTAGCTTTGTTTTGGTCGCCGTAACCGCAGAAAATCGAGGTCTGGTAAGCCAGACTCTGGCTTTAGCAGCGGATTTGTCACGATTGGGTTGAGGTAAAACATAACAG